AGGTAAACCTTATTCTGAATCAGCAAATAAGCTGAATGATTATTTGTTATTAACTGGCATCAGCTATACAAAATAATAATAATAATAAACTTTATTTTATAAAGCGCCTTTAAAAGCAACTTCTCAAAGCGCTGTACACAAAATAAGTAATAAAAAAGCTCAAACAATAAAAGTAACATCAACAATCAAATTCTAATTTAAAAAAATAAGTTTTTAATGTAAAAGAATGTCTGAAGTCTACCTTTGGAATTCTCTGCCTCTTGATCTTAAGGAAGCTCAGAACTATGACATTTTTAAAGGATACGAGCATATGAAGAAAAAGCCCTGTCACCCATAGATCGTAAGCATGTATGAGTTGGTTGATTAACCAACAAGTTGGATTGTGAAGATCGCAGTCTCCGATTTGGGGTATAGGAAATGAACAATTCAGATAAATAATAAGGAGCCAAGCCATGCAATGCTTTATATGTCAGCATCATAATTTTAAAATTAACTCGGAGGAATCTGACTGGGAACCAGAGTAAGGACTCCAAAACTGGAGTAATATGATTGCATACCCTGGACCCAGTCAATATCCTGGCGGCCGAGTTCTGTACATATTGCAGTTTGTTGAGTGTGGATTTAGAGACTCCAGCTAATAAAAGGGCGTTACAGTAATCTATCCTAGAGACGACAAAGGAATTCATCAGCTTTTCAGCTACTGAGAAATTTAGCATAGGATGCAATCTTGCTATGTTTCTGAGGTGAAAAAAGGATGATTTAACTGTACTCTGAACAAAAGAATCAAATGAGAGACTAGTATCAAAAATAACTCCAAGATTTCTCACTTTAGCTTGAGTCGCCAAGACAGAGTCATCAATAGTCAAAGATAAAGAACCAGCTTTGGAAATTTGATGATGGGAACCAATAAGCATAACTTCAGTTTTACCACTGTTCAGACACAAGAAATTATTACTCATCCATTCTTTTATCTCAGAAACACAGTCGGAGAGAAAATCAACATCAGGGTGTTCACCAGATTTTGAGTGTACATAAATCTGCATATCATCAGCATAAAAGTGATAAAGGAGGCCAAGTGATCGCAACAAATGACCAAGTGGTGACAGATAAATATTAAACAGTGAAATAGGATTTAAACCCCTTCAAAGCTGTCCCCGACACACCAAAATCTAGTTCAAGGTGGATGAGTAATAGACTATGAACAGTATCAAAAGCTGCTCTTAAATCAAGAAGGATGAGAATGGAAATTGCACAAAAGTCAGAAGCCATCAACAAATCATTGGTAACTTTGACCAAAGCCGTTTCAGTACTGTGGAATTTACGAAAACCTGACTGAAGAGGTTCAAAAAGGTTATTAATTGCAAGATGGTTACACAAATGAGAGGAAACAACACGCTCAAGTATAAACAGAGTAAAACAGGAGATAACAGAATATAAAGACCCACCCACCTTCCTCCTATTCTCCAATTACAGCAATGATTAGGAAGAAGACATGGAGCCAAAACAAACACCAGAATTCAATACTTAATCAAACAGTGCTTACAACGAGTATCTAGTGTGCCGTTTCCTTTAACAATCACTATGTACACCACAAGTCACAAGTCAAGGAAGCCAGGAGAGTGGGGAGCCATGCATCTATATTTCAGGAGTAACATTGGCTAATCAGGTCATCTCTCATTAGTAGCTCCTGAGGCCTGTTGCATGAAACCGGTTTCGGTTTGCGTTTAGTTTGAGCAAAATCTTGAGTTTTCAGGCTCAAGAAGGTGGGTTGGTTTTTAGCGGGGTTCATCGCCATGGTAACTTAAACTACACGGCTACCCTGCTCCGGAGCAGGTTTTATTCTGGACCAAAACTGGACCAATCAGCATGGGCAAAGTGACATGCATCTGATGTGATAAAGCCACTCCCCCTGTATCTCTTGCTCCAAATTAAAGCAGTTTATAGTGAAAGAATTTTAGACACAAAATTGCCAAATTATTTGCTGCTAATTATGTATTATATTTATATTATATGAATTATATTTATTTATAATTTGTATAATATAAAATATTCATATAGTTATTATATGAATTGACAATTAATATTCAACTTTGCATTAAAATGTATATGAATATACATATAAAAACTAGTTTTAATATATGAAGCTTTTAAAATGACTAAGCTTACATGTTGTCTTTTGAGCTCTTTGTGAACCTATATAAATTATTTAAATTAAGTTGATTCACTTGCATTGATATAGTTATATGATATAGATTTTTTTCAACTGCCTTCTCAAACTTTCTCTGCAGCAGCAGTGTTTATGTCTGCCTTATAAATGCATTTATAGTCGTGATATCTTTCATAATCTCTTCACTTTCAACAGAGAAGTGAATTGCGCAGCTCTCTGGCGAGAGGTCAATCAAACTGATGCGCTCCATGTTCCGTGTGATTGGCTGTTTGCTGCACATGTTCAACCCTGTGATGAACACGCTTCAGAGTTAAACCCTGAGTTGACAGAGAAAGTTTATACCAAGAGTTCTGAACCCGCTGAACCTGATCTAAACAAGGTCGGATTTGTGTGGTTTTGTCAACTCTAAACCTACTCTCAGAGTTTGTTCAACTAGCTTTATACAACAGGCCACTGTGAGCAATTACAGCTTGAGAGTAAAACTGACTTGACTTGACTAATAAAAACACTCACATGTAAACAGGTAACCGCAGCGTTGTCTTCCAATGGTTGTGATGGCCATATAGCATCTGCAAACAAATGAGCCTTTTTTTCTCAAAACTAACCTTTTTAGCCATTTTGGACATGCTTCACAATGTTTGACAACCAAAACATGCCCAAATAAATAAAACAAGAATAAGTGTGATAACACAAGTGTGGTGTGGTGTTAGTGTCAAGGGTAACACTTTACAATAAATGTACATTAGTTAACATGAACTCAGATTAATAAATGCTGTAGAAGTGCAGTTCATTATTAATTCATGTTAATTTCAACATTTACAAATACATTATTAAAATCAAAAGTTGTATTTGTTAACATTAGTTAATGCTCTGTGAACTAACATGAACAAACAATAAACGGCTGTATTTTTGTTAACTAACGTTAAAAAAGATTAACAAATACTGTAACAAATGTATTTGCTCATTGTTAGTTCATGTTAGTTAATACATTAACTAGTGTTAACTAATGAAACCTTCTTGTAAAGCGTTACCGTGTCAATCTTAAGCCAGGTATTTTTGGCCACTGTAAACATAATTTTTTAATTCCTGTGATAATACATTAATTTGTTTTCTATTTCAGGTGATCATGAAATCATGTACAGGAATCGATTATGGGGAGTTTGCCTCTTTCCTTAAGACCATTGCAAATACTCGAATATCCTTTTTGAATTCATGTCCCAGAAATGCAGATAATTGCCAAGACCTCCTTGCAGAAAGTCTGTGTGCATTAGGCCCTCACCATGCAGCCTTTGACCTCCAGAGAGTATTGCAGATATTTGAAAGCATGCTTAGCAATGAAGACTTTAAGAGACTAGACCCTTCAGCTCTGAGCTTCAAACCTGAGGAACTGCTTCAGGAGATCAGAGAGGCTGTTCGTACAATTGTATAACTATACTGTATGTGGAAGATCAACTACGGCAAATGTGTTAATAAATTATTTTAACAACATATTTGTGTTTTCATTGTTGTTTATGCTGTCATAAAAGTATCATGTCAAATCACCACCTTGGGATCATAAGGTTCTATCTGCATTCTGAGCAGTTTTGAGATATTGTGCTTCAAAGTTTTTGCATTCCATTCAACTTAGATAGAAACATTTTTTTTTCTAAATGAAAATTCCCAAAATATACACAACATAAAAAAAAAAACATAATGTAAATAAGTTGTCACAGAGTAAGAATATGTGAATGACTCAATTTTGACAAAAATGTCAGATAGAATCTTATAATTCCAAGGTGACAAAATATTGAGTTATTAACTTGACATGAACTTAACAAAGGGTGTCAACATCCAAAAATTATAAAAGGCAACTTTTCAGCAGATGCAATTCTTTTACTTTCAGTAGTGTTTTTCAATAATCTTAAAAGTGCTGCGTATGAAAGAGCTTTTAATGTAAAGTTAATGTCTCACCCTTTTTGTAAATGTAATTGTTGGGATAGGGGAATTTTTTGTTTTTAAACCAAACTAATAACTTCCAGAGGGCTTCTAAAGTGTGAATCCAATGGACACTTTACTATCCATGTGGCCATGGTATGGGAGAGGAATTGTAATGGCAGTGAACCGATGCAACTGACACTGATAGGTCACATGACAATGACATCATGATTTTACTACGTCTGGATTACATTTAGACCATGCACGTTCATACTACAGAACATACTTTTTTTAACAGTCATGAAATAATTATTTACAAGAAATGACCTACTCAATAATTCTTGCAAAGTTCAGCTCCAAATTCAATCCTAATCAAGCATACCCGGAGCAGCTAATTAAGATCTTCAGGAATGCTTGATAATTACAGGTGGGTGTGTTGGAGCAGGGTTGGAACTGGACTCTTGCAGGAAGGATGCTTTATCCATGACTACAGTATAATATGTAGCCCCATAATTTAATTTACATGGTCTTTATACACGGGCAAATTCATCACCATGTGTATATGCAATTTATTTATTTTTAGACCAAGATAAATTTGCTTGTACAAAACCATTTCAATGTGTATCTATCGGCAACTGTATATGATTGGCCCTTTCTAATAAGATGACATAAAATTAGTTTACTAGATTAAAGGGGCTACACATCTTACCCCACTCAACCCTATAAATAAATGAGTTGTGATAAAGATGTTTTCATATATGCTTATTCTCTGCAACAACAGAAAGAATATGAATTGCTCTGTTCTGGCTATTTGACAGTAATTGACAGTCCGGCTTTTCAAATAAGAATAGGTTGGTTTACATCCATGAAGATGTGATTTGCTTTAGAAAATTAACAACAATAAAACGTTTTTTTAAATAGATTTTATTGCAAGGTGTTAATCAAGACACTGTCAACAGATATTTGTGTAAAATGTATTATATTTAACATTTTAAGTCAACTCTATATAAATATTATCTGCATTCAAATTAAAGCAGTCTGGTAGACCTTACTAGTGTTTCCGATTCATTTATCTTCAGTGTTTTTTGGCCACCAGTCAGGCACAGTAGCCTGTAAAGTCACCGTCGTATTATCAGAGGATTTAAGTTTGAGTGACTCTTTGGCATGAGCCAAGCGTATAAGGCCAAGTCCCAGCCTGTCGATTCCTGCCCTATATTTCCCTGCTGGTTTGCCCCCCTCAGTCTCAAGAGCAGCCCCATGGTCCAGGTTCTTAGCTGGAGCAGACATGGTAACAGGCATTAGGCGCTTCCTTATTACACCGGTGTGGTGCGTTCTTGCAGTTAGTTCCTGTCCGATGTAGCATCCCTTGCTGAAGCTAATTCCCTGCATATAAACCAGATTAGACTCCAGTGGAAGGGCCTCACCTGGCGGAAAGTCTCTGACTCCTTCAGGTAGTCCTATAGAAATTAAATAAATTACAGGATTAATTACAAATGGTGTGCAAACTCTTGAATATCATTTTTCAATAGTTAAACTGGTAGCACTTTATTTTACAGTCCTGCTCCCCATGTACATTATAGTTAGTTATTACAATAACTGGGTAATAACTAGGTACTAACCCTGACCCTCCCCCTAAACCTAACCTTAACCCATGTAGTTACCTTATATTAACCAGTACTTTCTTAGGTAAGTACACTACCAGTGAAAAGGTTTTGATCTGTAAGATTTGTTATGTTTTTAAAAGAAGTCTCTTCTGCTCACCAAGGCTGCGTTTATTTGATTTAAAATACAAAAAAAACCCTGTAATATTATGAAATATTATTACAATTTAAACAAGTTGTTTTCTATGTGAATATATAGTAAAGTGTAATTTATTTACATCTCTCATTATTATCAATGTTGAAAACAGTTATTTACATTTTTATTTCAGGATTCTTTGATGAATAGAAAATTCAAAAGAACAGCATTTATTATTCAAAACTACCATTCAAAAGTCTGGGGTCAGTAAGAATTTTTTTTTTTTTTTTTGGGGGGAAAGAAAATAAATCAAGGATGAATTAAATTGATCAAAAGTTACAGTAAAGACATTTATAATGTTACAAAAGTTCTATTTCAAATAAATGATGTTCTTTTAAACTTTCTATTCATCAAAGAATCCTGAAAAAAGATTGTACACAACTGTTTTCAACATTGATAATAATGAATGTTTTTTCAGCATCAAATCCGCATATTAGAGTGATTTCTAAAGGGTCATGTGACACTGAAGACTGGAGTAATGATGCTGAAAATTCAGCTTTGGTCACAGGAATAAATTACATTTTAAAATATATTAAAATAGAAAACAGTTATTTTAAATTGTCATAATATTTAACAATATTACTGGGTTTTTTTTGTGTATTTTTAATCAAATAAATGCAGCCTTGGTGAACAGAAGAGACTTTTGATCCAAAACTTTTGACTGGTAGTGTATACTGTAAGTACACAAACTGTCAATTAAAGTGCAACCGATAAACATTTAAAACAGGCAAAATGCTATTATTATCATTACCAAAAAAATATCCATATAAACTTTGTTGAGGTAGAGAATTACTTAAGATGAATATTAACATTTTAATATTAACATCAATATCAGGAGAAAAATTATACAGCATGAATTAAGCCCATTTTTCCACATTGAGATGACTCTAAAAGTGGTTCAATATCTAAAATGCATATTCATATCTACACTAGTACCAGTCAAAAGTTTGAACACGCAGACTGAATGTATGCTTCTACTGATATTAAAAACCTATTGATTTAAAAGCTTCTGCTTAAAGGCTTAAAATTCATTTTGTAGATAATTATATAAACTGTACTTGCATATGAATTTCTTTAAAAAACTTTTTTTTAAATGCTGTTTAAAAAGCATTCCAGATCACTCCGCTTCATGAGGGTGGTTGAGAAAAAGCCAACAATGAGCAGAGCTGTAATCTAGACAAAAGGAATTTGTAGAAGCTGAAATATTAGATCTGTTTAACATTTTTGTCACTACATAATTTCATTATGTGATGAGGTCTTTATTATTCAATGTAAAAAGTACAAAAAATGATGATGATAATAATAATAATAATAATGAATAAGTCGTTGTGTCCAAACTTCTCACTGGTAGTGTATGTAAAACTAATTAATTTGAGGTCATTAAGCTCTTATTCATAAGACAGAGAATTACTGCATGTTTAACTTCAATAACTATCAATAACTAACAAATGCAACAAGTTAAGATTGTCAGGTTCAGTTTATCCAAGTAACAATACAAAGCATTTAATACCAATTTCATAGCGATGTCTGTGGTATTCTTCGGTGTTGCCCTGTTGACAAGCAGAGACAATCTCATGTAGATTGTCCTGACAACTGGTGATCATTCTCCAGCCCATGAGTTCAGTTCTCGGGTCTTTCTCCAACACTAACACATTATCTGCTGCAGTAACTTCTGGCTTTGACTTTCCCAGCACTGCATCTCTATTCCTAGGTAATAGAGCCCATAGCGAGAGACTAGGACACAAGCTGATGTTCACTTTGCGACGTATCTTGTAGACTTTCAGAAGCCGCATAATGGATTCCTGTACGATGCTGTCACACTCCAGAAGTACACCATTCAATCCATTTGGGTTTCCTTTTAAACTGAACAACAACAAACAAGTTATATTAATGCATACATTCAGAATGTACATTCGGAACAGTTGTATACGTTTAGCACATGCTATTCTCTAAAAATCAGCACTCCTTACATTAAACATAAGCTGTTTTCATCCATGAATTTGAATATTACATAAAGAAAATTGCAAATAAACCACTGTTTCCATCCCATGTGTTTAAGAGAACAAAATCGTCTCTTCCTGGGAAATTGGCATGAAGTATATTGGCTATGTAATAAAAAATGGAAGTTGCTGCAATCGGGGCCAGAAAGCCAGAAACCAGCCGCTCGAATGGCACCTTCGGTCAGATGTCTTCCTTGGTGTTTTACTGCTTCATGATAGTGAGAGACAAGCAGGGTTGCGAGATGATGCCGGCCAGGAATGATGATGGGGTGAGTCTCGTTCATGCTCAGATCTGACTGTCCAATCCGACCTCCCACTCTAAGAAGTTGATCTTGGTCCATGATAGGGCGCAATTTCCACAGGCTGCTGGAAGATGGGATGTTGGATCCTGAGTTTACACACTTAAGTTCGTCTGAATAGTACTCATTCTGGACACTCTTCACAATGCACAATTTAGCCCTCAGCAACTCTTCCTCTGTAGAGCGACAAATGTGCCACCCCTGACATTCATTCTAGGGTGGAGTGAGCAAAGGAACGAGCCACGTGGATGAGGTGTGCTATGGCTGTGAGGAGAGTGCTGAACTTGGAGAAACGTTCAAAGCGTTGTGGGTGTACCACATCTCTGGTAACATGTGTGAGACTTCAGTGTCAGGGTCAATAAGGTTATAAGTCTCTTGAAGCTCAGTTGAATGCGAAGGCGCATCACGGAGAAAGGCTGGTCCTTTGAGCCAAGTTGTGCTGCTAAGCAAGGGTGGTGTCACAGTTCTCGACCCAATGTAAGCTGGGTTGAGATGCGTTGGGACGTACTTCCACTGTCCGGAACAAGGTGATTGATGGATTCGTTGGACCCTGTTGTGTACGTAGACATAGAATCTCCTTGACTGGTTCTGGATGTACCCCAATACAATCTTGCTATCCGTGTAGTAGGTGATGTTGTCGAAAGTTGTGTCCATCTCTGTGACTACCATCTCGTGATCTCGATGGCGAGTACAGCCGCACAGAGCTGAAGTCTCGGTATAGTTAACCCTCTGGGGTCTAAGGTGTTTTTGGGGTCCTTGAGATGTTTTGACATACTCTGACATTTGTGCTTTTTTCAGTTGCTAATAACCAAATTACTGGCAAAGGTGTAATTACACTCTATTTTGCACAAACAGGGCTACCATAATATGTTATCAACATGTATGTATATGTTTGTATTTTTGAGAGAATATTGTTTATGCGTGGTTATTGAAAAAACTAAAACTTAAAGTTTCTGAAATAAGGCCACAAAACACATACTAAATATGTGTCCACAAGACTTTTGACTAATGGATGTTGTCGCCTAGAGTTTTTTCTTCAAAATGATCTGAAAATCATCCTGCCTTATCATTCACATAAAACAATAGATTGGTTTAAATTAAAAAATTACACTTTTTGTTTGGAAAGGCAATATGCGCAGGGGTGTGACCTGCTGTGATTCACACCTGAGAAGACAATGGGCCCGCATAATGAGCGCATAATGGGGCTGCATACTAATGACCCTTTCATTCAGGTGTGTCACTGAGCCTCAAGAATGCAATGACAATATATATATATATATATATATACTGTATGTATATAGGCCCATATAATACAAAATTGGTTCACAGTTCCAATTATTTATTTATTTTTGAAATTGTGCTTGCAAATTGTATAATATCAAATGTAAACATTTCTAGTAATTGTGCAGTTAATTCTCATACTGTTTTTACAGAAAGTTTGGGAATATATCCCAAATGTGTCACTAATAAAACACAATACAAATAATTTAAAGAGGAGGCTTATATTGAGCTTTTAAGATTTACCTAAGATTTATTTATATGTAGCCTACATATATTTTTGCTATTTTAATAAAAAGGTTACAATTACAACAACAATTACAATTTTAACTATATTTCAAATGTAATCTTTCTTTGTATATACTAAAGTATACATTTTATCATACATATTTCACAGTTGCGGATTAATTAGTTTGAATATAGCCTACAATCGAACAAACACTATAATAACATCCTAGCAAACAAGCTTATTTGATGTGGCAGTATTTTACAGTAAAAACGACATCTTGTCTTTCATATGTAACATATCGTTTTTATGATTAGGACATATAAATGTTAATTTGCAGTTTAATACGTTGCTTATACAAAAATATTTTATTTCAACATATTTCAGTCGGTTTTTACTCATCTCAGTATTGGAATATAGTTAGGTAAAAGCTGTTCATTCATTCACACACAAAAATGCGATTCATATTCAAACAGTCTTTTTGTTTACAGACACTATTTCATATCGCGATTAGAACAAAGCACTTGAAAATAAAGAATGTACCTATTCCTCAGCTGGATCCGTTGCTCCTCCAAATGAAACTACCTGCACTTCTGAGGTAATTTTTTTCCAGGATTATTATTAAGATAGTATTATTCCTCACAGCGTCGTAAATATGAGTCTCTTTCTGTGGGTTATCCAGCTGATGTGGGCGTGGATCGCCTTAGAGCATTTGTGTTTGAATAGAGCGCGCGCTCCGTGGGCGTGGTCAAATTAACTTTAATGACCTGAGATGAGAACGACTATCATCTCTCTCTTTTCGTACAGATTACATAAAATGAGAAAATTTGTTTTTTATATAAATTACTTCATTTAAAAGAAGATAATTCAGGCTTCATGCCTGTGTGCCTGTATACCTGTTTGACTGAGTATTTGCAGAGTTACAGTTCATTTTTCGGACGCGTTTCAGAATGGACTTCACTGACAGAGAGAACGCAGAACGCGCATCATGTTTATTTTTCTTTATTAGGCGAAAAGCACAACACTTTGTTTTTATTGTGAGGTTCCACAAAAAAAATACAAACTTAACAGGATCGAATGATGTACAACACTTATATGTAAGATCAAAATCAACAGAGTAATTTGAGTCTCTTTTGCACTGATAAGGAAAAAAGTGAGCTGGTATCGCCGGCGAGACCGCCGACCCCAGAGGGTTAAGCCAGGTTGGGGGGCCAGCTTTGCCTTCCTGAAGACAAAGTCAATCTCAATCTGTTCTTGGTGGCTTGTCACCTTGACGTAGGCTACGGCTGCTATTGCCTTGACTGATGCGTCTGCAAAGACACAGAGTTCTCTTCTTAGCGTGCCTGCGGTGGAGAAGGACGTGTAAGGGCGTGGTATCTGGAGCCCCTCTAGGTCTTGGAGTGACTGTTTCCATCTAGTCCACTAAATCTCCATGTCTTTGGGAACAGGTGAATACCAGCCCTCTGCTTGCGTGGTGAGTTCCCTGAGTATCAGTCTTCCATGAACTGTGATGGGTGCAAGGAACCCTAGAGGATCATAGAGGCTGTTCACTATTGAGAGTACCCCTCTGCGAGTGAATGGCTTCTGGTCATCTTTCATCTGAAACATATGAAGGTGTCTGCGCATGTTCCAGAACAATCCAAGGCTACGTTAGATGGGCAGATCATCAATAAAGAGATCTAGGCTGTTGACGTCCTTGGCGCGATCTTCGGATGGATATGCTTCGTTGACTGCCGGTTGATTTGAAGCAATTTTGTGCAGCCTGAGGTTAGAAGCTGCAAGCATTTTCTGTGCTCGTCCAAGGACGCTGATGGCCTCTTCCTCGGTGCCGAAGGACTTTAAAGCGTCGTCAACATAGAACTCGCGGTCAATGAATCTTCTTGCATCACTGCCATAGTCGGCTTCTGCTTCCTTAGCTGCCCGTCGCATATCATACACTGCAACGGCAGGCGAGGGACTGTTCCCAAAAAGGTGAACCCGCATTCTGTAGTCCACGATGTCGGAGGTAGGGTCGTTATTCCTATACCACAGGAAGCGTAGAAAATCACGGTGCTCCTCCTTAACGACAAAGCAGTGGAACATGTGCTCGATGTCGGCGGTCATCGCCACCTGTTCCTTCCTGAACCTCATAAGAACACCTAGCAGGGTATTATTGAGATCAGGGCCAGTGAGCAAGACATCGTTGAGCGACACTCCTTCACATGACGCGCTGCTGTCAAAGACCACACGGATCTTATCTGGCTTCCTTGGATGGTACACACCGAACAGGGCCAGGTACCAACACTCTTGTCCAGGCTGCACTGGCGGGGCAACTTCTGCGTGTGCCTTCTGGAGCATCTTCTCCATAAACTCTAGGAAATCGGCTTTCATGTTTCCTGTTGTTAGGCAGCCGCTGTCTTGGCGACCGAAAAGGCAAAGGTGCAACCCAACTTTTGGAGCTGTCCTGACAGCACTCAGCTTCCATTATCTTCAGAAACTCTAGATCCTCCATGGATGGAGCGAGTCTGTGGTCGTCGGGAGTACGAGCGAAGACAGTCTGCCCCAAGCAGTCTCCACTGAGCATCATTGAGCCACGGGTGGAGGTTGGTGCTGGATGATGCTGAGGTTTAGATACTTGACCAAATACCTCTTTCACTCTGATCTGGTTGTTGCATGGCTGAAGATAACTTGTACAACCGTTCTCTAAGATGGCTGTTTTTTAACTCCTCACCTCATGTGGTCTGTGAGCACCTCCTAGGCACAAATCACCGACGACGACCCATCCTAGGTCAAGCCTTTGGGCAAACGGTGCATCTTCTGGGCCACTTATCTGCTCTCGGACCTTGTGTGCCTGTAAGATGTCTCTGCCCAGTAAGAGGAGTATTTTGGCATCCGGATCCAGAGGCGGAATCTTGTCTGTGATGTGCTTCAGGTGGGCATGATGGTAAGCTGCTTCCGGCGTAGGAATCTCGGCGCGAACGTTAGGGATTTGGTTGCACTCGAGGAGTGTAGGCAGAGGAATGCTTAGTTTCTTGTCCACCGGCTCCACAGTGTAACCGCTGGCTCTCCTCCCCGCTGTCTCTGAACGCCCCGCACAGGTCTTGAGTGTATACGAGTAGGAACTTCCGGAGATCTTAAAAACCTCA